ACTGGTAACCACGTGTGAAGTGGTGCTGGATCTGTGCACGCCTTTGGCTCTGGACAGCTTTTCTATTATTCTTCTATTATTAACTTTGACACGACCCTAAACTTTTTGAGCTGCAGGTCCTGTATTTTTGCTACTAAGAGAATGATAGCACCCATATCAAGGCTCTTGCCTGGATCAGGGAGACAGTGTGCAGGGAAGACTGAGTGCATTGTGAAGGATTGTGCATTCACATGGAGACCATAATTATAGGCCATAATATGAAGAGCAGATTTTGTTTCCTAGGATTAGGTCAGATCAAATAGAGACCAAAGATTGTAGAGAACAACCTGTGAAAATTATAAATCAGGGACCTATTGGTACTTGCGTTGTACTGATGAGGGATTTGGTAACTTAAGTTTGATCTTCATTTTAATATGAAATCATTAACTGAGTTGACTGTTAGTAAAACACAAGATAATAGGAAAATCATGCGTACTTGGATGTTTACAGTATAGTTTTTCTTGTCTGTTAATGAGTACTGATCAACTGAATGAAGAAAAGGGGCTTTCATATTGAATATTAGGGTGGATATGTATTAAGTGTGACTAAGGTAATATAGTAGATTAAAAAGATAGTTTCTGTGTTCTGGAATTAGTGAAAATACTAAATTAGTTAATATATAAAAAACCATGAATCGTATACATTAAAATGACAAATTTCATGATATGTGAATTATATTTCAATGTAAAAATAAAAAAGAAACCATTAAAGCTGTAGCTATACTATTAAAAATTCAGGGACTTGAGAAAAAATTTTATCAGCCTGAACTCATTATAATTTTAATATACGTTGTTCTAACTCATTCCTGTTATATATATCCATAGGATTCTATAAAGAAAATGAACTGCTTTTCTCATCTAATATGTTGTCTTTAGCAGTTTTCTGTGTTAGTCTTCATAGTCTTCATTTTAAATTGACTACTCAAGATTCTATGTGTGGCCGTGCCATGATTTAGTTAACTAATCTCCTTTCCCACTTTTAGGTTGCATCTACACAGATATTTGTCTATTATAATTAAGATATAATGAGCATCTTTTTGCATATGTTTTTCTTCCATATCTTGGACTCTTTCCTTCAGAAAAGTTTCTAAAATGAAATATCTGTATCAATATATTGCTGAGAGAAATGAAAGAAAATATAAGACGATATATCATGTTCATAGATCAGAAGATGTGATACTGTTAAAATATGTATTCTCCCCATGGAATTCTGTACAGATTCCTAACTATCCCAGTAAAAATCCCAGCAGGCTTTTTTTTTGGTGTAGAAATTTGACAAACTGATTCTAAAATTCCGAACTGAGAAGCCAATTTTAAGTGCCAGGCATGCTAGAAAACAACACTGAAAAAGGAGCAAAGTTGGAGTACTAACACTACCTGATTTCAAGACTTATTATAAAGCTATCATAATAGAGACAGTGTAGTGTTGATGTTAAGATAGACAAACTGATCATTTTTAACAGAACAGGGTCCGGAAATAGACCCGCACAAATATGGACAATTAGTTTTTTTTTTTTTTTGGTACCGGTTATTGAACTCGGGTCCTTGCGCTTGCAAGGCAGACCACCGAACCGCTTAGCTAAATCCCTGGCCCTGGACAATTAATTTTTTATAAAGATGTAAAGACAGTTAAGTTGAGAAAGATTTGTCTGTTTAGCAGTGCTAGAATAATTAGATATTCTTATGAAAAACTGAACTTTGATTCATACCTCACAATGAAAATAGAAGTTGGTTCCAAGTGGATCACACACTCAGATGTGAAACTAAAAGTACAGTTAGGAGTGTTAACCTCAATAGCAAACGCGGAGCTATTCTGCAAGAAATTCTGAATTTAATCAAGAGTAGCTAAAGATTATAATCTGGAATGTATGTGCTGTGGGGACCATACATATCCAAAGAGGTTGAGATAGGAGGAAGATTTAAAAGCAAAAGAGGGGAGTACATGTAATTTATTTGGAAATACAGAGAATACTAGTTACAGGATCTTATCTCAGGAGTAGACATAAGTTCATGAATAGAGACAGTGTGTCATCGACTGTCCTTGTACAGCCTGCTAGCCATCTTTGTGATGTATATAGCAAGCTGTGGTTTAGGAAGTCCTTGGCAAAAGTTTTGATTACAGCATATGTATGCAAGAGCCCAATCCATGAATGTACTAGTTTTTATTATAGGCATGTATGCTTAGGGCCCTTCTTCATAACTTTCTGGCTTTATTTTGTTAGGCTTTGACACAGTGACTCCATTATGATTCTGACAAGTTGCACAAAAGAATGGAAAGATCAGCCACACATGGGGAGAAAACATTTGCAGATCCTGTGTATGATAAAGTACTTGTTTATAGAATATATAAAGAAGTCTTCTAACTCAATAATAAATAACTCATTAAAAATGGGCAAAAGATTTAAACAGACATTTCACCCCATAAGATACAGAGATGGCAGATAGATGAAAAGATATTCCACGTTATTAGTTATTAGGGAAATGCAAATTTTAAACCCTCCTGAGATGGCACTTCACACCTAATAGAATGACTAAAATGAAAAAGATTTACAATACTGAGAATTGGGAGGATGAGGAGGAAGTCTCTACCACTGTTGGAATGTAAAATGGTACAGTTACATTGACTATGTGACAGATTCTTAAAAAGTCAAACGTATACCTGTTGTATAATTTAATACTATATTTATAAATATTTAGCCACAAGAAATGAAAACATTTATTGATTTTCCCAAACTGGAAGCAACCCAAATGCCCACTAACTGATGAGCCAATAAATATATTGTGGTATATTCACACAGTGGAGCACTACTCAGCAAGAAAAAAGAATTACCTGTTGATACATGCAACACGTAAATAAATCTCAGTATAATTCTATTGAATGAAAAAGGACAGGCAAAACAAGAATGTGGGCTTTAGATTCCATTTATATAAGACTAAAAATTTCTGTCTGAGAAGCAGTCATTGGTTACAGCAGTCTTAGCACAAATGGCAACATGACTTACTGTAATAAATTTAATAAAATGTAAGCATCCACCATACTTTTTGATCACACCTCATTTATTCCCTGCTGCCAATAGGCTTAGTGCTTCATGATGCCATGCAGTGAGTGAATGCTGGGACAGGAAGTGTTTGTGCACCAAGTCAGTGGCTTCCTGAAAGTTGAAAGGGGCCTAGTTTCTGATCCTAGCGCAAGGTGAAGCTCTGAGAGCTGGAGCAGGAAAGCGACCCTGGAGACTAGAATGCCCACTGTACTCTTCAGCATCTATGTCTTTTCACCTTCAAAAGATATTTTAGGATTTTGGTGATTGGCAGTGCCCCTCACCTGTGTGTGTGTGTGTGTGTGTGTGTGTGTGTGTGTGTGTGTGTGTGTGTGAAACTGGCTGAAGGGGAGTTTGGGGGCTGTTTAGTGGAAATGTGGGAGTTCTATGTGGTAGGTGCTGAGTTAGTCTCAGGGGTGGTAGTTTTGTTAGTGTGTAGCCCTTCTTTGTCATAAATGTGTATTTAGACACTGGCACAACCAACTTGCTTTGAGGTACATAGAGTGTAGAGCAGACACACATGGCTTCAGTTCTCAAGATGTGCCAGGTAACTGGTGAGCTGGGCATGGGCTGGCCTTTTTGGGTGTGGGTGACCAGAGAGGGCTCCCTGCATTGCCCAGACAGTGTCTTGAAAGGGCATCACTTTGTGGCAAGAGATACCCAGCTCATCCTGATTCAAGCCATAGGTGAGGGGTAGTAGGTCTCTAACTCTGTTTCTTTCTGGGAGAGTTGAACAGGGTGTGGTCAGTGCTTCTGAGGGCTGTCAGTGGTAGAGACAAAGATACAGGCAAACCCAGTCTAAAGAAAAGAATGGAGCTGGTGTGTCAGCAGCACATGTGTGTACACACAGATATGCACATACAACAACACAGGCAGTGATCTCCACACATGCACATAGAAACACACATGCACAAATATACATACAGAGCAACACACACATACACTCTTATGCCTTTGCTTATCTTCTCCTCTTGAAATTCAAGTTGAGAGTCCAAACCTGTGCATCAGCTAGGTTCTGGTCACACCAGTAGTTTGAACAAGGAAAATTTAATATATAGAGTTAAGAACTAGTAAAAGGTGGTTAGTTCCTAGAAGTTGTAAAAGGAGATTCTGACAGTAGAGAAGTAGCAAACATATACAGCATCTGCTCCTTCTGGGACTTGGGGACCATGAGCAAGGGTGGGATAAGGACCCTCTATCCCAAGGCTGGAAGTCAGGTCCTGATAGAGCAGGCCAGGGTTGCCCAGGGATGCTGGTGGTGAGGGGCCATGCCTAGCTGCCTGCTCCCTGTGGCTGATCTCTCCCAGTCACATTCCCCAGGTAAATAGGAGTTCCATGCTAAAGATTACTGGATTAAAAAAGCTGTAGACCTGGAGTGTTTTCTAGCCTTTCCTTTGATATTTATTAGTTATTTTATAAACAAAATAACTGCGTTTCTCATCTGTAAACGTACCAACACCCACCTCCCTGAGCTGCCTTGAGGATTAAAAGACAAAATGTATATGCCCATGTTTTATCAGTTGTAGAGATCCAACACGAAGTATTATCAGTATGTTTGATGGGCGTGTGGCAGACACGGGAACTCTATGTACCCTGGAATGAATCCCTAGTCTATTCAATTTGGCTAAAAGGCTTGAACACTCATTTCTAGGGAGTGGTACCTAACCAGGAAAGTTTTTGGTGGAAGGAAGGAAAATGGAAATATCAGACACAGAGACTGGCCTCAGTGTGATTGAAATTGACTGTTCTGGCTGGGTACAGGAGATGGGAGGGCATGCATGTGTGTATGTGTGTGTGTATGTGTGTGTACACCCTGGCCACTGGAGAGTAAGTGAAGGTCTTCAAGCAGAGGGCAGAGAAGGGGAATGTGTCTGGCGAATAGCCTACCCTCACACTTCTCTGGCCCTGGCCTCTCTCCTTGCAGGTGCATCTCCGCTCTGCCCGGCGTCTCTGTGAGCTCTGCTGTGCCAACCGGGGAACCTTCATCAAGGTGGGCCAGCACCTGGGGGCTCTGGACTACCTGCTGCCAGAGGAGTACACGAGCACGCTGAAGGTGCTGCATAGCCAGGCCCCGCAGAGCAGCATGCAGGAGGTCCGCCAGGTCATTCGTGAAGACCTGGGCAAGGAGGTACCCAGCCCTGCTGGGGGAAGGAGCTGGGAAGGGGCTGGGAAGGGTGCTTTTGCAAAGGCCCTGGCAGAGCCAGGACACTGGGGTTCACCATTCAAGCAGCACCAGATGTCACCGCAACTTCATGTTGAAATCAGATCAGAAGGAACTTTGGTGGTGCTCACTAAAAAATATTAAATATGAATGTGTGTTTTTAACTGTTTTGGTTGGGAACCTAACGTGATTCATATTGTTCAGCCTAACGTCTGTCGATCACTGAGGGCTTAGTGCATACTGACCGCTGTGCTGTGTTCCACATTATCTCATCCTCATGGCAAACATGTGAGGTAGGTACTGTTATTAGCCCCATTTTGCAGACGAAGGATGGAGGCTGATGGTGCTAAGGTCAAGTGTCCAGGAGCCCTGTAAGTGACTCTAGTGCACCGCTCTGCGCTGGCATCATCAGTAAGCTGCCCAAGACTTCAGTGCTTTGTCTTCTCTGGAGCAACTCTGGTCAGCATCCATCAGCCTCTGCTCGCTCACTCCCAGGAAAAGGAGGTTTACTCTCTTACTTGTTACCCAGGGTAGCCTGTTCTGTTGGCAGCTGTCTTTAACTTTAAGAAGTGCTTCCTGATGACACCTTCTGACAACAGCCCTGGGTGCATTCCCTTGAGCCCGTACCAGTGACTTGCAGGACGTCCTTTTGTGCCAAGTGGGCACAGTTGCGTGGACCCTGACTGGCTTGTTCTAGTCTCTGTGCTTCTGGGCAGAGGGAAGGATTTGAGCGGTGGATCAGTTTCAGATTTAGAAATTATGTGTTGTATTTGGAAGGACCCTCAGAGATCTCTACTAAAACCTTCCTCTCCTCCTGCTTCCTCTCCTCTTCCCTTCTCTTTGTACTTCTCTTAGAGAATCCTCTGGGTTGTCTGGACTTTCCTGAGCAAAATTTTCTCTCTTTTTTTTTTTTGGTACTGAGATCAAACTCAGGAACTTGTGCTTGAGAGGCCGGTGGTGGAACCACTGAGTTAAATCCCTGGCCAAAATACTCTTTTTTTTAAAAAAAAAATTAATTTTATTGGTACATTTTAGATATATGATATAATAACATTCACCATTGGAGATTTGTACCTTTACAAAATATATCTTAATTCTTTTTTTTAAATTGAGTTTATTGGTACATTTTAGGGATACGGCACAGTTACATTCATTTTGGGATCTTGTACCTTTACATGACAGGTCTTGGTTCTCATTTTTTCCCTTTGTCCCTGCCCTCCCTTCACCCCCTCCTCCCCTCCCCATTTACAAACACTTTATTTCCATTTTTTAAATTTTCTTATATTCTTTTCTTTTCCCTTATTACCTTTCCCCTACCCTTCCCACTTTCCCTCCATCTTTAGCCCTTTTCTTCCTATTTCACATTGTCAATTATCTCATTAGGATCTTATGTACTATTATAGTTTCTCATACCAGAGAAACTATTTGGTATTTATAGATGTGTGACTTATTTATTTCATTTAGGAGTATATCCTCAATATGTATCCAATATATCTTAATTATTTTTTCCTCTTCTGCTGCCTCTTCTTATTTTTTCCCACATTGTGGGCTGACTCTTCTCCCTGTTGGTGGCTTCTCTTGCTGTGCCGAAGCTTTTTAATAAGAAGACATCCCATTTTGCGCTAGTTCACATGCAACTGAGGTTTCGTTCGTAAAGTCTTTTCCTATGCCAGTGTCTTCAAGAGTTCTATCTAACTCTCTTCCAGCCGGTTTAGTGTTTCTGTTTTAATATTTAGATCTTTAGTTTTTTTGATTTTAGTTTCATGCATGGTGAGAGATATAGGTCTAGTTTTAATCTTTGGCAAGTTGAAACCCAGTTTTTCCAGCACCATTTATTAAAGAGGCTATCTTTCCTCCAGTGAGGTTGTTTGGCTCCTTTGTCAAAGATGAGGTGGCTGAGTGTGTCTGGAGTTGTTTCTGCATCTTCTAATCTGTTCCACTGGTTCTTGGGTCTTTTTCTTTTCAAGTACCATGCTGTTTTTATCACAGTAGCTTTGTAGTGTAGTTTCCAGTTGGGAATTGTGATACTCCCTACCTTGTCTTTATTGCCTTGAATTGCTTTTGCTATTCCAGGTCTCTTCTTGTTCCAAATGAATTTGTGGATTGTTCTCTCAAGGTGCATGAAGTATGCTGCTGGAATTTTAATTGGGATTGCATTGAATCTATCTAGTAGTTTTAGAAGTATGGCCATTTTCACTATATTGGTGCTTCCTACCCAGGAGCAAAGGAAGTCTTTTCATTTTCTGATATCCTCTTTGATTTCTTTTTTCAGAGTGCTATAGTTTTCAAAGCAGAGGTCTTTGATTTCTTTTGTTAGGTTGATTCGTAGGTATTTCTTTCTTTTATATATATATATTTTGAGACAGGGTCTCACTATGTAGTTGAGGCTGCCCTGGAACTCACTCTGTAGCCTAGACTGGTCTCAAATTCCCAGTGATCCTCCTGCCTCAGCCTCCTGAGCACTAGGATTACAGGCGTGCGCCACCACACCTGGCTATTCCTAGGTATATCATTTTTCTGGATGCCATTATGAAGGGAATTGCTTCTCCAGTTCCTTTTTCAGTGAGTCTGTTGTTTGTGTATAGGAATGCTATTGATTTTTGTGTTGATCTTGTGTCCAGCTCCTTTACTGAGTTTGGCTATTAAGTCTAGGAGACTTTTGGTGGAGTTCTTGGGGTCTTCTATTTAGAGTATCATGTCGTCTGCAAATAATGACAGTTTAACTTCTTTATTTCCTATCTTTATTCCTTTTATTTCTTTCTCTTGTCTAATTGCTGTGGCTAATGTTTCCAAAACTATATTGAACAGGAGTGGTGATAGTGGACATCCTTGTCTTGTTCCTGATTTTAGTGTGAAAGATTTTAGTTTTTGACCATGTAGTATGATATTGGTTATTGGCTTTTCATAGATGGCTTTTATCATATTGAGGTAGAGACTGACTTATCCAATTTTTTTATAGGGTTTCTATCATGAATGCATGCTGTATTTTGTCAAATGCTTTTTCTGTACCTATTGAGATTATCTTATGGTTTTTGTCCTTGGCTCTATTAATATAGTGTGTTATATTTATTGATTTGCGCATGTCGAACCACCCCTGCCTCCCTGGGATGAATCCCACGTGGTCAGGCTGTATGATCTTCTTGATGATCTTCTGCATTCTATTTGCCACTATCTTATTAAGGATTTTTGCATCTGTGTTCATTAGTGAGATTGGCCTATAGTTCTCTTTTTCAGTTGGGCCTTTCTCTGATTTGGGGATCAAGGTGATGCTTGCTTCCAGGAATGAATTTGGGAGTATTACTTCCCTTTCAATTTCACTGAAGAGCTTAAACAGTAGTGACAGTAGTTCTTCTTTAAATGTCTTGTAGAATTCAGCAGTGAAGCCATCAGGGTCTGGGCTTTTCTTAATTGCTAACTTTTTATTTATGTTTTCATTTTCGTTGATTGATACTGGGTGTTTTAGAGTTTTTAGGTCTTTGTTCAACTTTGGTAATTCATATCTATCTAGGAATGTGTCCGTTTCTTCTATGTTTTCCGTCTTATTGGTGTATAGGTTATGAGCAAAATACTCTGAAAGTTAAGCCTTAAGTTGATCCCTTTCCTGAGGTTAGTGTGTAACTCGATTCTTCCCATTGCCTTTAGGATACAGTTCTTAGCAGGGCATTGGCCCATTTGGTGTCCATCTCCCACCTGTTTCATGAAGATGCCTCAGAGTGGCAGAGTTTGGCTTCTGGAGCCAGGGCCTTGGACCTGGCAAAGTGATATTCTCTTGGCACCTCACTGCCATTTTCTGCAAAATGAAGGTAACCATAGTGTGTACCTCAGAGGTTGCTTAGTAGAGCACTTCATGTGGAACAAAAACCTGACAAACATTAGTACCATGACTGTGGTTATGTCCCTCTGCTCGGGTCACACTGCACTGCTTAGCTCACACTCTTAGCCCTCAGTGCCTGTGCCCATGGCCCACCATCTGTCTGGAATGTTTTCACCCCATTCTGTGTGCTAATCCATGATTCAAGGCCTTTTGTCCATCTGTCCATCTATCTAAAAAATTCCATGTATGATGCTAGGTGCTGGTTTCCCAGCCAGACTCCAGCCCTTCTGTGCCATCTTCTCCAGCCCTCCCTGGACCTCTCGTGCTAGTGTGTGCAGAACTCTTCCTCTTCCACATGTGCACACTATGGGCTTGGTTACTTGAATCTTCTGCTGCAAGTTAGAATGTCTTTGAGGATGAAGGCCATGGTGGTCCTTTTATCTTGCATCTTTAGCACTAGAACAGTGAGGTATAGAGTAGGTACAGTGTTTGTTTAATGAGCCAATGGATAAACAAGTGACAGCTTCCTTAGGCAACTCAGGGCAGGTCCAAGAGTAGGGGCAGAGGTCTGTGTTCCATTTGTACTGTTGTGGGCCCTGACTCTAGGTCCCTTCGAGTAAAACTAGTGCCAGATGGACAGCATCTATCTCGTGGTGACCCTCTCCTCAGTGCTGGCTTGGATTGGAGGGAGCCCTCACTGTCTGACACCATGGAGCCCAAGTTATGCTGGAGGGGAGCACAGAAATGTCTTGCTCTGAGGAACATTTCCTCCAAAAAGAGACTGAAAGGCAGTTCAACCTAGGGGGTGGCTGGTGTCAGGGAGCAGTCTGCAGGCTAGGAGAGCAGGGTTAGGATGCAGGGAGCCCAGACTGAGGGGACAGGATTGGCACAGTGCTGGCCCGAGAGTGCCTTTGCTTCTCATAGAGACTATTGGCCTCCAGCTTCCAGCAGTATGAGATTCACCCCTGAATTAAAACTAAATAAGTCGTGGTAATAACAGTGCGAAGCGCATCATTGATGTCATGTGGCAGCTCAGTGCGGGTGGATGTGAAGGGGTAAGGCAGCAGGAGATTAACCCTTGGACGCCTCTGGGGAGGAGAGGGGGTGCGAGCAGGGCTGCAGCTCCCTACAAGCAAGGGTAGAGTGAGATGAA